GTCGACGCGTTCCAGCCCGTCGTGGAAACGTGCAACGTCTCAGGGTGGGGCTCTGCGCAGCGCTGGCTGCAACGGACTTCTGCACACATCGTGCTGATGCAAGAGCACCACATCTTTGACGACCAGCTCGCCTCAGCATCCTCTTGGAGTATTAGACACGGTTGGAAGTCACTTTTCCTACCTGCTGACAAAGGACCACACGGAGGGCCCTCTGCTGGTGTAGCCATCCTCGTTCGTTCTGGTCTGGGCCTCCACGCGCTGCAGAGTGGCATGGATGTCGCGAAGCACCGTGCGATTGCGGGGGTGGTCGACCTCCCCGACGGCACCCAGATTCTGCGCGCGTCCCTCTACCTCAGAGATTGCGAAGACCTATCGGAAGCGAACCTGGACCTCCTCTCTCGGACAGGCTCATTGATTGGCTCCATGGGGTACCCAGTCATCATAGGAGGGGACTTCAACATGATCCCGTCGGTCGTCGTCCAGTCGCACCTCGGGGGCTCGCTTGGGCAATGGATGATGCCAGGTGACACCACTTGCAATTCGGTCGCGGGTCCGAAGGTCCATGACTATTTTTCCGTTTCGCCAGGGCTCAGCAAAGGGGTTGCTAGGGTGTCGGTGCGGCAGGATAGTGGCTTATCCCCCACTCGCCTGTGCATTTGACCCTCCACCCCTTCCTGAGTAAGTTGCAAGCCCTCAGCTTTCGCAACCCCCCTAAGCTGGCCTCCTCTCCGCTCCCCCCCGTCTGCAAGCTGGACCCCGTCCCCGCTTTGCGCCCTGCCGTCGCCCGTGTGCTGGGCGAAGCTCGGAAAGCGGTGGATAGGGGGGACTTCGATGCCATCAAAGAATCAGTGGACCAGTTGTATCGGCTTTGGGCGGACCAGGCCGAAGTGGAAGTGGCGGTGGCCACAGGCACCCAGCCCCCCTTCCGTGGACCCCGAGGGAAGGCCCCCGCTCTCAGATGGAAGAACATCCTGGCCCCCGACACCCAGAGCCCTAAGCAGCCCGTCGTGTTTGCACATAGGTGGCTTAACTCTCAGTCGCAGAGGCTTGGGCTCCACTGGGAAGCCAGTGACCGTGCAGGTGTTGCCCCTGTGCTACGTGTGCTGCCTACCCTGTCGGGGCCATAGCCAGCGGCCTTGATGTTCGCCCCCGCCTGCTCCCGTACCTCGTCGAGGTCGGGGGCGCCATGCTCGATGCGCTGGAGGTGCACGAGCAGACATCTCGTCAGGGGATTTTACTGAAACGTCGACGTCTTGATGTCGCTCCTGGAGATGCGGCCGACCCAGGAGCGCGCTTTGCAGTCATTTCTCGGGATTTTGTATGTTGGCGCAACACTTTTAATGATCGCCTGCAGGAAGTCGAGTGCGACGCCAGGAAGGCGGCCTCGGCTGAATGGAGAGACTGGCTGTTAGAGAAGGCGGATCAAGGGGCGTGGAAGATACATATGGTCTCGAAGGGGGCCACCCCCTGGAGGCCTACCACCACCTTGGCCTGTGACGGTGTTGTGGTTGCTGACCCCGTGTCCCTCCTTCGTGCCGAAAGCCAGCGTTTCTCGGGCCTCTGGGGGGACGGAAAGGCCCGCCCGTGGCTCCCCAAGGGTACCTTGTCCCCTGCGTTGCCCGAGTTTAGGCCCGAAGATATCCGTGCGATCTCCAAGGGGTTCCGTGAGCGCACCGCGGTGTCAGTTGATGGATTTCACATGAAGCACTTTGCGATGATGCCCGATGCCAGTCTCAGCCTCCTGTGCGACATCCTAGGATTGATGGAGAGGTCGGCTGTCATACCTATGTAAATTTCCATCATTACCATGGCTCTGATTGCTAAACCGTCCTCGGGGTTCCGTCCTATCGGTATCTTCTGCAGTGCGTTTAGAATGTATGGCAAGCTTCGCCGAACTCTCGCCGATAAATGAGAAGCTAGATTCACGCGTGAGTATTTTTGTGCTGGTCCGTTTGAAGGAGCGCAGGGCGTCGTCTGGCGCCACGCCTGCAATGCCGAGGCCAGCACTGCACAAGGAATGGAATGTGCCACTCTGTTAACTGACTTGTACAAGTATTATGAGACCCTGGATCTCCAGGTCCTGGCCCTCCGTGCTCACCAGGTTGGCTTCCCTGTCGGTATCTCGTACTTGCGCATTGCCATGTATTCCCAGGCCAGGTTCCTGTCCTTGGGAGGTTTTGTGGACGGGCCCTATTGGGCCCTGGCAGGGGTGGTGGCGGGGTGTTCCCTGGCCACGACCTTCATCAGGGCTAATGCTATTCAAGATTTGGACGCCCTCCGCCTCCCTCAGGCCGTCCAGTTCAAACTCTACATCGACGATGGAGGCTTGTCTGCCACGGGTTCCTTTACACAAGTTTTAAAGCGGCTTCCTCAGGCCGCGCCCCTTAGGCAAAGCCATCTCTCGGGCTCTCGGGGGTCTCGCGGGGCCGATCTTGGACTCCGACTCGGCGCCCAATTTGGGAGTTGATTTTTGCGCTGGCAGGCCGTCCAGGGTCCGAGGGAGAAACTCCAAGGCTAAGGAAAGGGTTAGGAAGGCGAAAGATAGGACTGCTCGTCTGGTTCGAATGAGGCCCACCATTTCGGGTAAGCGTTGTCGTAATGTCTTCGTCGCGGGTCCTCTCCCTGGGGCTGTGTATGGGTGCGAGATCTCAGGGGTCACGGACCACGAACTCCTCTCCCTTAGGCAATTGGCTGGGAAGGCCCTTAAGCCTAGTGCAGGCGGTCGGTCGCTCACCGCTCTTATGCTGTGCCACGGCGACCCGCCGTGGGTCGCCTCCATTGCCCCTATTTACCGTTGGGCGAAAGAAGTTTGGACCACCCATCATCGGCTGTACCCCTATGCCCTCTCGTTCGCCACGCTTCGTTCGGCTTGGAATGCTGTGTTCTCGAGGCCCCCGGGCCTCTGGAAAAGTGTCGCGGGCCCGATCAGTGCGATGAGGAAGTCTCTTGAGCGTATTTCGTGGTCCATGCCTTCCTTCACGGTGCTCCGTGATGAGAAAGGAATCGATGTTCACTTGACCCAGGTCTCGCCCGCGATGGTCAGATCGCTGCTTGGGAGAGCGGTGCGTCGTACCCTCGAGTGGGATCTGGGAGCTCGGCACAATCTCGGTAGGGTTTGCACTGATGGGACCCTCAGCCCCCTCACCCCCCGAAAGTTCACGGCTCTCGAAAAAGGTTGTGTCCGCTCTCTCTTTTGCAATGCCACCTACACCAGGGCCAAGGCCAGATCCCTGGGATATATTATTGATACCACCTGCCCTCTTTGTGGAGACGGGGACGACGCGACTCGTCACCGTCTCTGGCGGTGCTCTGCCTGCGAGGAGCTCAGGACGGAGCTGATTCCTGCTAAGGTGCGGGAGTGGGCAGGCCAAGCGGACGACGCCTTGGCTTGCTACGGCCTCTTCCCCCACCCAGCTGAGGCCCACCCCCAGCCGTCGTGCGAGGAGGGGGTCGTCACGGAGCCTTGTGAGGGGTACGAGCATTTGGTTTTCGATCAGGACTTCGCTGGTCAGATTTTTGTTGATGGTTCCTGCCTACGACACCCAGTGGGCGAGCTTTCACGTGCTGGATGGGCCGTCTCATTGCTCGACCCTTCCAACATGCAGGAGATGATCAGGATTCGGGGCCCTGTGTGGCCTCCCTACCCCCAGACCCCCCAGAGTGCCGAATACCACGCTTTTTGTGCTGCTGCTAGGTTTGTTGCCAACCCATCTACCATACACTCTGACTGCCAGAATGTTGTAGATTATGCCAGTTTGGATAGGACCAAACAGACCAGCCACAAACGCTTGTACTCGGGGTGTGCCCAGTTCGTGCGTGAAAATTTACCAGTCATCACCACGAGCAAGGTGAAGGCTCATCAAAATGTTGATGAAGCGGCCGACGACCGAGACCGCTTCCTCCGCATTGGCAATAATTATGTTGATGCCGCAGCCAAGGTCGCTGCGGCTTCCAACCCGCAGCCCAGCAGTGAGCAGGTGGAGCAACTTGATCGGCAATATGCAGTCGCGCGTGCTGTGGGAATGCTGGCTGCAAAGCTCCTCCCGCTCTGGCCGCCTCTCGAGATGGGTCCTGATGTCGTTCGTGAGGTCGTGTGTCGTGAGAGCGGTGCTGGCCAAGGGACAGCTGCAGCCACCCCACACGCCTGGCAGCAGATAGGAGCCTTCTGGCGGTGCACTGTATGTCTGGCTGCCTCCCGCGGGGTACGGGCCCCGCCGCAGGAACATGGAATTGGAGGGTGGTTCTGGCCCCCTCCGCCTGGCGTTTGCCCTCAGCGCAGTAGACTTGATCCTGCGCTGCTTGCAGCGAAAGGGCATCGCTGCATTTCTCTCGTGTGCTCCGACTCGACTCGCCTCATCGTATGCCTGCGTTGCACGGCCATCAGCGGGCAGCGTGCCATGAATTTGTCTCGTCAGTGTGCCGATCACCCCAGCAGTGCGGGTGCACGGCATTGTTGGCAGAGAATATGCCGTGGCCTTCATCCGAAGAATGACAGAGTCACGGTAGAGCGAGGACCCTGGTCGGATCTTTAAGCGACCAGGGGCTGGCGGCCTGCCCCTCCATGCCGCCAGAGCTTCTCTGCAGAGGTGGAAGGGCCTGTAGCGGGCAAAAATCCTCCTCCTCCTCCTCCTCCTCCTCCTCCCCTCCTCCTCCTCCTCCTCCTCCTCCTCCTCTCTGTTCTCTCCTCTCTCCTCTCGCCTCTTTCCTCTCTCCCTCTCCTCTCTCCTCCTCTCTCCAACTCCTCCTCCTCCTCCTCCTCCTCCTCCTCCTCCTCCTCCTCCTCCTCCACCTCCTCCTCCTCCTCCTCCTCCTCCTTTCTCCTCCCCTCTCCCCTCTTCGCTCTCCTCTTTCCTCTATCCTCTCTCCTCTCTCCTCTCCCCCCGCCTGACTCTCCTCGTCATCGTCCCTGTCCTCTCATCCTCCTTCTCCTCCTCGTCCTCTTTATCGTCGTCGTCCCCCTCCTCTTCTTACTCCTCGTCCTCCTTCTTCTCCCCCCTCGCCTGTATTGGCCGTCCGGCTCCCAACCCTCCGCGGTGCCCTCGTAGGCGCAGTTCAGCGTGAGTCGCGGCGTCTCCGGCAGCACGGCCACCGGCGGCAGCCTGCCACACCAGACGGGGCTCCTCATGGCCTCTGAGCTGTACAAATTCAGGGGGTCCAGCAAGGGCGGGCCGCCGGGCATCTCCACGGTGATCCTCGGGGGTCCCTGAAGGCAGCTCGACGTATGCGGTCGAGGTGCTGCCAGAAGAAACGCTAAGTGAGGAACGGAGACTCTGTTTGGCCCCAGAAGCGCCTGGGTGAACGAAGCGGACGAGAAGAACAACCACGGGATGTCCTAAGGAACAGCGAGCCACTTTCAATCCCAACGCGGCCCCTATGTCAGCGTCTTGACTGCGAGCCAGCCTTCATGCAGCTGCGGAGACATGGGGCACCTTCTCCCCAAGGTATCTGCCTGGCGTTCCGCAGCCTGTCTTGGAATCCGTTCGAGTCCGCCCACGACGATGGCGCTCCCAACGTTTGAGGCAGGTCCACTTCAACGAGCGGTGGCCTCGGAACCCCTCACGACCCCACCGCAAGGTCCGCCGCCGACCCCGGAGGCCCCAGCGTCGAAGAAGAGCGGCCCGAGCCCCGAACCCCCCGCGGCCAACAGGAGGAGCAGGGGGAGGAGGAGGAGGAGGAGGAGGAGGAGGAGGAGGAGGAGGAGGAGGAGGAGGAGGACGAGGAGGAGGAGAAGGAGGAGGAGAAGGAGGAGGAGGAGAGGGAGGAGGAGGAGGAGGAGGAGGAGGAGGAGGAGGAGGAGGAAGAGGAGGAGGAGAGGCCGTGCTCTGTCAAGTCTACGTCATCAAAGGTCCCGACGCCTTCCCCAAGGGCAACTTAGCTGTTCTTCCCAGGTCCATTTCGGATGGTCCCGGGGTACAGGGGGCCGAAATCGAGGTTCGATGCCCAAGTTCAACGCATCACATCGTCGGAGATCTGGGAATCCTCACCGGCTCACCACACGGGAGATCAAGGCCTCGGACGAAACTAGCAAGGACTCATACCACATTCATCTGCCAATGCCCCCCTCCCCTTGACCAATGTTGGCGGTGGATTTAAAGAGCTGCACTTCGACCGCAGTCTTCCGCGCGCGTGCCAACTTTGAGTTTGGAGGAGCGGGGGAGTGTCCGTCCACGAAAATTGTTTCCATCTACTGTCTTTACAATTTAAATGCGATCACCATGGTTATCCAGTGGGGAGTGGGGGGGCGGGCCGATGACCCACCCTTTTCGCTTTCGGTAGCGCCGCGTTTGTCCGCACGCACCAGTACTGCGCACCTTCCCCAGACCCGCGTCACCGACAAGGTCACGCCATCCAGAGCGGGGGGAGGGCACCAAACGCTCGCCATCGCTCGGACGTCCATTCCCTGTGTTTTTTGTTCGGTTTCGTGCGTGGTTTCTTCGCCAAATGATCAAGGATGCTCCTCGATGGTCCTCGCCGAAGGAAAAATGCACACGTCCGAGCGATGCCAAGCCTCCGGTGTGGCCGCTCCCGCGCCGCGCCGTTTGGGGGCCCCCGCGATGTCCAGCCGAAGGCGCCCCCGTCCGTGCGCACCCGGGCGCGGAGCAGGGGCTCGGCGCTGTGGGCCTGCTGCGCCATCGCGAGCTCGAGCAGCAGCACCTCCTCGCCGGGGCCGAGGCTGCCCAGCTCCTCGCGGGGGGCGTGCGCGGCGCACCGCGCAGCTCGGGGCCGGCGAGGCGCGGAGGAGCGCGCGCGTGCTGACGCACAGCCGCGTCGGGCGGGGCTGTCGAGGGAGCAGCGGTGGTGGACCCACTGGTCGTGAACAAAGGGGGTGTTTTGCTGGAAGTGCCCCTGGCCCAAGGTGCCCCCCAGAGCTCGTCGCTGAACTCTGGAGCCCCTGGGCCCCTCTGGACCTCGCGAGGGCTGCCCGGGAGGCCGTGTGGGCCTCCTCGGAAATTCTGGGGGCACCTTGGGCCAGGGGCACCTCTAGCAACAACCGAAAGAAGGAGGGTGGGATCAGGGTTTGCCGGACTGGTGCTCATGTTACAGTTGGATTGGTCGGATTAGGGAGTGAGGGCCAAAGCAGGATGCCCAGATTTTGGGTGCGAGGGCTTGTCCTTCCTACTGGTAGCCATGTGGTCCGGGTCAGGCGGTCAGGATGAGGGTGCTTGTATTGATGCGTAGGGTGTTAGGGTTAGGGTGTCAGGGCTCAGGGTTTGCGCTGAGGGTTAGGCGATTGGGTGTTAAATATACGTTAGTCAGGGCTCGGATAGCATGGCTCTCGCATGTTACCGATCAAGGTGTTAGGACGTCATTATGCTAGATGATGCTGGAGTTTATGATGCTAGATGCGAAATTAAGTATGACGCTTACGGTGAGGCCATGCTGTTAGGGTGTGTCGCTTATGGTCAGGGATCGTGCTTAAGGCTTAGATTTAGGGCACGTGGGTTAGGGCGTTATGCTGTTAGAGATGGGTTTGGCGCTCGGACTTCGGGCTCGGGTCTTAGGAATTACTGTTGTAGGCTTGCTGTGGCAACAGGTTGCGTGGGGATTCGGCTTGTATGGTTCGGTTTACGGTTTACTGTTCTGGATCGGGAAAGGTGGTTTGGGTGTTCAGATTAGTGTGTAGGCCGAGAGGCCACAATCGCTGATGTTCGACTCATGTTTGCCGAATTGTAGCGTTCTGGCCTTTTGCAGGCTTTCGACGCTACAAGAGAGCCCACAGATCGCCAAGAGGGCACCCAGACGGCCCAAGAGAGCCCGAGGACCCCAAGACAGCCCACGAGGCCACCGAGACGGTCCAAGAAGGCTCCACGAGAGGCCCTCGAGGGCTACCAAGAACCGATATTTCGAGCCCTCCTCGCCAACACAACATGCGAGCGAGACCGCCAGCAGGCCCCCAAGAATCCTCCCAGAAGCTTCAGAAGACCCCCGAAAGGCGCACAAAAGGTCTCAAGAGCCCCCCAAACCGCCTCCACGAGGCTCCATACCCTTTTTGCTCCTTCCTCCCCCCCTCCTGCTTATCCTCCTCCTTCTGCTCTTCCTCCTCCTCCCTCCTCTCTACCATCTCCCCTCCGCCCTCCTCCTCTTCCACCCCTTCCCCATACTGCACGCTCCGAGCTGCAGCCCGAAGCTGGAAGACGATCGAAGACAGGCGTATCCTCCCCCTCCTTTTCCCACCTCACCCAGTCGCCACCCCGAGTGGAGGAGAAACGTCCAGGGGGACCAACTCAGGGGGGGAAACCACGACTGGGGATCGGCAACACATCGCCGATGGATCAGCGGTACGCCTCCGATTGCAGATCCGCGCGCTCCCGTGCAAGGTGGACCCAATTATCGGGTCCCTATCGGCGATTATGGGCGATTGGGGTCCATGCATCCCCCCCTGAACTAATCCGCCCGTGCAGTCGGACTCGATTGGACAGGACACGCGAGAGGACACAAGACCCATCCGAGGGACACACTGCCACAGGAACGCAGCAATGCCGGAAGCATGGGTCGCGAGACGCCGGACACAAGGGCACCCTTGGCTTGGCAGGGCCGACCTACTAATCTGGGCCGACTGTAATCTTGGCCCTGACCACGCCTCCACGAAGAAAACGTCGGCTACACGCAAGAGTGACCCTTAGTAAGAGTGACTTTTGGTGCGCGGCTTTTTGAGGGCCGCCTGGGGACCAAACCTGGGCGCGCAACCCGTTGCTCCTGCTTCGCTTTCAGCCATCTGGGGACACACCTGTGCCCGCACCACAGGTCACTCCAGCGAAAGGTCACTCTTACGTCTAGTCGAAAACGGTTGGCCCTGGGACTTTGGGGCGTGGCCCGGTCTCCCGCGGCCGCTCGGGACTCTCCGGGCACCCCCGGGGCGCTCTCGGCGAAGCTCCGCTGCCGGAGGGCCACACCGGGGCTGGAGAACCCCCAAGTACAGTCAGGCCGCCTGCCAGAAGGAACGCTCAATAAGGAACGAAGCCACATCTTTCATTCAGGAACGGCCGAGCCTCATCGTTGCCTCTCGTTTTGCCATAACCAAAAGAACGCCGAGGGGGCTTCGTGGCGCGATGGCGAGGGAACGCCAGCAGATCCAAGGAACCACCGAGCCCCTTTCCGAAACCGAGCTCGACCTTATTTCAGGAGCCTCACTGCACCGACGAAAACATCCGAAAACCTCGAAACCCAGGCCTCGAAGCGCGAAGCCCTCGACGTCTCCTCCCCTTGGGGAAACCAACAGGTACCGACACCGCTACTCCCCGGTCCTCTCTCAGGGTGCGTTCTGACCAGAGCTTCGAGGCGAATCCAGCGGTGGCGACGAGGGCCTCCCCGGAGGCCCACAAAGGGGAGAAAACGGGCGAGGGGGTAGAGGTATGGGTACCTAAGACAAGGCTAGGATCGGGATAAATCGCTCCAGAGCGTTCCGGAGCGCTCTCAGAGCGTTCCAGAACGCTCTGGAGCGGCCGCGGCGCCCAATGCATCCTCCAAACCCGCCGATTCTCAGAGATTTCGAGTTATCCCGATCCGATTTTGTCCCGATCTTCGCGTCGTTTTATACCTTCTCCTCCTCCGACCTCTGGCCCCAGCCTCCGAGGGAGGCACCCCCGCGCGCTCCTCGCTCGCCAGGGACGCCCCCGCCCGCAGCCTCGGGTTGCCCGTGACGCGGTGCCGCGCCCCGGCCTCCCAGCCGCCGCTCCGGCAGCGCGGGCCCAGCGCCTGCAGAGGGGCCCCGGAGGCTCGATCCCCCCGCGGGCGGATGCCACGGGTACGCGTCGGGGAGACGCAGGACTCTCCTCCCTCCCCTCCCCCTCCCCCTCCCATCTCCTCCTCTCCTCCTCCCTCCTCCTCCTCCTCCTCCTCCTCTCCTCCTCCTCCTCCTCCTCCTCCTCCTCCCCCTCCTCGTTCATTTCTTCCTCCTCCTCCTCAACCTCCTCCTCAACCTCCTCCTCCTCCTCCCCCTCCTTCTCCCCGCCTCCTCCTCCTCCTCCTCCTCCTCCTCCTCCTCCACCTCCTCCTCCTC